GTTTGTAAGCTTCTTTGCTTCTTTATGTAAGTTTATTCGTTTTCTAACGTTTTCTTAGTTCTTAAAAATTATGCATTGTGATTGGTTAATTATCACGGAAACTCACGGGTAGATCTACAAAAATTGACCAATTAAATGAATGTCTTCCTATGACTAAGCCGGTAGCTCGTTTAACATTATTTTTTTTACAAGCTCAAAGCAGTGAATCATTTATAGATCCTATTCTGTACAAATTATATTTCATTGTCTTGAATATATTTAAAGTACAGAGCATAGTTTAGAATTCCAAGGCATAATTGCATTAGTTGGCAAATACTTGGCACAACGAAATTTTATTTGTAGCTATCTAAGCTAGTTTGTAAAGATAATTATTACTGTAGTTAAAAATACAGTATACCGATTTTTATTATATAATAATTTAGAAATCGTCAACCTAGAGCTTCGTAGTTGGGTTTGATTTTCATAGTAGTCTAAAAAATTATGATGAAATGTTTTTACACTGGAGGTTTATTAGGTTAAATAATTATGGCATTGGAGACATTATTGGATATATCAACTACTGTCAACTCTTTCCATAACGAACTGTTGGTTCTGGCTGTTAAAAAATGTTCGCTATATAAAATTACTATGTTTTTTAAAAAACCATACCTCTTTTTATACTTAACTAATATGGAATTCAAAAATTTTTAGTTATAAAAAGGTTCGGTATAAAGAAGGTTGACTGTACTATAGACGAAGAATTTGAATTATATTATTAATTAAATAAAGTTACCAGTAATAAATCATGAGCTTGTAAGCTAGTCGATGTTTCGAGTGTAGCAGTGTGCGTGGTTGTATAACAGTTCGTACATCAATTTTTGATATTCACTTTAGTCCTATTAGCCAATCAAATTCACAGAACGGTCTACAAAAATTAGCCAATCACAATATGTTTCACTGCACCTTCACTCCGGACAATAAGGTCACTTAAAAAGGGATCTTGTATAAGACTTTATCCTTTTTTTAATTCAACACTTTTCACTCAATTTTTTTAACTCAATTCTTTTCGCTCAATATTTTTTTTCTATACTCAACACCAATATACTAATGCAACAACAAGCAAGAAAAGCTTCAACAGCTGCACCAGCAAAAATTGTTAAAGATGCTACTACCGATTCCCTTTCCAACAGCCTTGAAGAACAAGAACAAAAAAATTTTACTAACAATTTGTATGTTTAATTTATAAAAAAGGTCTATATATTTTGTCGTTATTGGAATTATTTATTAGAATATTACCTTTCTGTTCCTTCACGTATTAAACTACCAGATAGTATGTACAGAGTTTATTTATAAAAAGGTCTACATATGTTATTAGAATTGTTTATTAAAATATTACCTTTGTTCCTTCATTTGCGTATTAAACTACCAGTCGGTATGTATATTAATAAAAAGAGTACATATTTATCGTTATTAAGATTGTTCATTAAAATAACAACCTTTCTGTTTCTTCACTTACGTATTAAACCACCAGGCCTTATTATCGGCATCGGTATGTATAGAGTTTATTTATATTTTATCGTTATTGGAATTATTTATTAAAATATTATCTTTCTGTCTTCGTTTACGTATTAAACTACTAGATCGTATGTAGAGTTTATTTATAAAAAAAAGGTCTACATATCTTATTACCATTAGGATTGTCTATTAAAATATTACCTTTCTGTTCCTTCACTTACATATAAACAACCAGGAAGTATGTATAAAGGTTTATTTATAAAAAAGACCCACGTATTTTATTGTTATTAGAATTATTCATTAAAATATTACCTTCCTGTTCCTTCATTTACGTATTAAACTACCAGTTCGTATGTATTATTTTATAAAAAGGTCTACATATTTTATCATTATTAGAATTGTGTATTAAAATAATTGCCTTTGTATTCCTTCACTTACATACTAAACTACCAGGAAGTATGTATAGAGTTTATTTATAAAAAAGGTTTTATCGTTATTAGAATTATTTATTAAAATATCTTTCTGTTCCTTCGCTTACGTATTAAACTATCAGAAAGTATGTATGCAGTTTATTTATAAAAAAGTCTACATATTTATCGTTAATAGAATTGTTTACTAAAATATTACCTTTCTGTTCCTTCGCTTACGTATTAAATTACCAGGAAGTATCAGTATGTAAAGAGTTTATTTATAAAAAGGCATATTTTATCGTCATTTATTAAAATACCTTTCTGTTCTTTCACTTACGTATTAAACCACCAGGATGTATGTATAAAGTTTACTTATAAAAAAGGTCTACATATTTTATCGTTGTAGAATTTTTATCGTTGTAGAATTGTTTATTAAAATATTACCTTTCTGTTCTTTCACTTACGTATTATTACCAGAGAGTATGTATAAAGTTTATTTATAAAAAAGTATACATATTTTTCATTATTGGAATTATTTATTAAAATATTACCTTTCTGTTCTTTCACTTACGTATTAAACTACCAGGGAGTATGTATAGAATTTATTTATAAAAAGGTCTACATATTCTATCGCTATTAGAATCGGTTATTAAATTATTACTTTTCCATTCCTTCACTTACGTATTAAACTACCAGTTCGTATGTATAGAATTTATTTATAAAAAGGTCTACATATTTTATCGCTATTAGAATCGGTTATTAAAATATTACCTTTCTGTTCCTTCATTTACTTATTAAACACCAGGATGTATGTATAGAGTTTATTTACAAAAAGGTCTACATATTTTTCGTTATTGGAATTATTTATTAAAATATTACCTTTCTGTTCTTTCACTTACGTATTAAACTACCAGGGTGTATGTATATAAAAAGGTCTACGTATTTATAGTTATTAGAATTATTTATTAAAATATTACCTTTCTGTTCTTTCACTTACGTATTAAACTACCAGTCCGTATGTATAGAGTTTATTTACAAAAAGGTCTACATATTTTATCGCTATTAGAATCGGTTATTAAATTATTACTTTTCCATTCCTTCATTTACGTATTAAACACCAGTTTGTATGTATAGAGTTTATTTATAAAAAGGCCTACATGTTTTATCGTTGTTAGAATTGTTTATTAAAATATTACTTTTCCATTCCTTCACTTACGTTTAAACTACCAGTTCGTATGTATAGCTGATAGTGTTTATTTTAAAAAAGGTCTACATATTTATCGTTATTAGAATTATTTATTAAAATATTACTTTTCGTTCCTTCACTTACGTATTGAACCACCAGTAGGTTTAATTATAAAAAAGGTCTTCATATTTATTTTTATTAGAATCGGTCATTAAATATTACTTTTCTATTCCTTCGCTTACGTATCAAACTACCAGGGAGTATGGCAGTTCGTACGTATAATGTTTATTTATAAAAAAGGTCTATGTATTTTATCGTTATTAGAGCTGTTTATTAAAATATTATCTTTCTTTTCCTTCACTTACGTATTAAACTACCAGAGAGTATGTATAGAAATTTATAAAAAGTCTACATGTTTATTGTCTCTGTCTTACTTTTCTGTTCCTTCACTTACATATTAGACGGTATGTATAGAAGTTCTGTAACGGAATTTTTTTACAGTATAGTAAATCAGAAATAACAATACAAAATTATCACGTCATCTAAACCATATGCTACAGTAAATCAGAAATAATGATAACTCCGATGCAAACTGACTCAACACCATATGCTGTGTTTCAGTGTAATAACCCGTAAGTTCTGTAACGGAATTTTTTTTCACAGTACAGCAAATCGAGAAATATTATTAAATTTCAATACAAACCTACTCAACATGTCATCTAAACCAAATTGAGCAAGTGATAACCCTGACATGGATGAATCTAAGCTAACTCAATTCGATGTGAAAGAATATAAAGAAATTTCCGATGAAGGTTGATATCCTCATGCCGCTGTTTTTTTTATTAGTAATAGCTTTTCTCAAAGTTGCTTTTTTTTTTTTTTTATAGCTGTTAGTGCTGACCTTGATGTGAATGTTGATGGATTCGATATTTTTAGTCACATGCTGTTTCTTAAACCTTCTACGATTATTGACAATGGTAACTTACAGCATTTTATTTTATTTTTTATTTTCCTGGATTGACACTAATAATACAACTATTTTAGAATTTGTATCTATTCGCTCAACAATCTCACCTGGTACATCAGCTACCTCGCATAATGAAGTTAAAAGGCTTATCACATTGTTAGAAAAACATAAAAATGATATTGAAAATATACTAAGCCCTAAACAAGTGTATGCTATAGGCCCTGATTTTCTGCAAGGTTGTACTATACCGCATATTGCCTGCTGGGTTAATGGGGCTCTCATTAATGAAGATATTGAAAGGCTTTCAAATATATTTGATAATGAATTTGAAATTGTTGTGATACATCTGGATACAGAATACAGCAATAGTTTCAGCTATAAAACACAACAATCAGGCGATAAAAATGAATCTAAAGGCAAAAGGAATGGGGATGACAGCGGGCAAAATGATTATAACAGAAATAATAAAGAAAATAATCATGAAGACAAAGGATCAAATGAAAAAAATAGCGGTGAGGCGAATGAAAAAAATGGTGACGAAGGCAATAGAAGAAACGGCGAGAGAAGCAGCAAAAAAAGTGATGATGATGGATATGAAGGTTCTAGCGAAGACGACAATAATAAGTATCTTTCTGTTGCCTCTACGGCAACAGCCAAAGTTGCGGGCACGAATTCAGAAATTGAACAAGATTTCAGCATAAATGCTCGCGTCTGGGCAAATATTTCTAATAAACATAATGGGCAGAGTATTAAGTTCGAGGTTTTTTTATTCGATTGTAGAACGGGTGAGCCGCTCAGTAGTCAATGGAAATTACTTAAAGGGAAAGCTACTGCCTATATTTTTGATTCTATTGAAATTAGTGTTTCTCCAGATCCAAGAAAAGTTGGTGCGATTATGCCAAAGGATGCTTACGAACCATTACTACCCAACCAAGAGACTGAACGTTCAAAAGGTAAAGAGACAAGCAAAAGTTTAGGTGGTAAAGTTGGATGTGAGATTGGAACGACATCTAAGTTTGTAGCCGAAGCGAATCTTAATTGTAGCGCAAAGAATACCCATAATAACAAATCAGTAACAAGTGAATGGAATTTAAAGACTATAGGAAACAACAAATCTGGAATTTGCTGGTCATATAAATATACTGCTGATGAAAATGCCAGTTATAGATTTGACTTTCCATGCAACAGTCATCATCGTGGCGAATGGGTTATCGAAAATATGGTTGGATTTCGTATCGTTATTAAGCAAGTATTGCGTTACGTATTAATTAAAGGTGATACTAAGAATAAAAAGGTAATAAATATAGCACAATGCCCTAAAATGGCTCATACACTCGAAATATACTTCAAAACTATTAAAAATTTTAATGATGATTTTGCTGCACTCAGAAAGTGGCATTTCAAACAGGAAGATCTTACTGTTACCCTAAAAGATATTAAGGATGTAAATTTGGTTGCAAATGACACTCAAAATGATTCAAAACTTATGGATATAGACCGGGGGTTTATGGAAATCGATCAAATTTAAAGTTTGGACCATATAACATGTATATGTCTCGAAGTTATATTCAAAACAAAGACCAATTATTATATATCCCTTAAACTGTTTCTCCTACAAATTTTCCCTGAAATTTTTTTAAAAATTTTATTTTTAAAATAAAATCTTAAATATTAATTTTAGCTATATACTTTCTAAATAAAAAATGTTTTTTCTAATAACTTTATTAAGAAATTTTTTTAAATTTATTAAAAAACATAGGAGTAATAAAATCTTTAAGTTTTTATTTTGAACTTTTTACTATAAGATTTTTCTTTAAATTTTTAAAATTTTATATGTTTTTATTAATGATAAATTTTTTTACTTCTAATATAAGTCTAAGGACTTAATTAGACATTGCATGCTGTGATGTGCTTATACATTGCCTTTTAACAATTGACCAATTAAATTTGAAGATCAGGTGTAATATGCAAATTAATTTTGTGTAGCAAAAATAAAGAAACTTTTTAAAATTTTGAAATAGCTCAAAATGCTGTCTATGAAATTGCCTTTTGAGCTCTAACAAAAAAAATTCCTCACAAAATTTTGGTATATACTATATTCTACTCTAACTGCTAACCACTAACTCTAACCCTAACCCAATCTAGTATCAATTTTTTGGCATATATAAATTTATTGTTACACATATTTACAAATTATAATATGACAGGGTGAAACCCGCAATGCCTGCTAGTAAAATCTGCGTTGATTGGTTAATTTATGTAAAATCCGCATTGATCAGTTATTTTATGTAAAACCTGAAATAGATATGTAAAACCTGATATTTGTAGAGTGAAACTCGCGATCAAAATAAAGAATTTTTTAAAACTTGAGTGAAGATATTTTGACAACTACCTGATTAAATTTTATAAAAATTTTTTATTTAAATTCTATGAATTCCAAGAATTCAAATAAAAGAATTTTCATCAAATTTGGTCATGAGGTTGTCAAGATATTTTCGCTCAAAGTTTTAACAAAATCAAAACATCTAGGCTGTGCCAAATTTTTTCTAAACTTTGAGCGAAGATATCACGACAACTACATGACCAAATTTTTTTATTTGAATTCTATATATTCATAGAATTCAGATAAAAAACTTTAATCGAATTTTACCAAGTGATTGTCAAGATATCCTCACTCTAAGTTTTGAAAAAAATTTGGTGCAGCTTCTATTTTGATAGACGGTTTGATTTTTCTAAAACTTTGAACGAAAATATCTCAACAACGACCTTACCAAATCTGATTAATTTTTTTTTTATTGAATTCTATGGATTATAGAATTCAAATAAAAAAAAAATTATAAAATTTGTCAGGTGGTTGTCGAGATATCTTCGTTCAAAGTTTTAACAAAATCAAAACATCTATCAAATAAAAGCTGCACTAAATTTTCTAAAACTTTAACGAAGGTATCTCGACAATTACCTAATCAAATTCGATGAAGATTTTTTTATTTGAATTCTATGCATTCATAGAATTTAAATAAAAAATTTTCAGCGAATTTGGTCAGGTTGATGTCAAAATATCTTTGCTCAAAATTTTAGAAAAAATTTGATATAGTTTTTATTTCCTAAAACTTTGAATTATGATATCTCGACAATTGCCAACAAATTCGATGAAAATTTTTTTATTTGAATTCTGTAGATTCAAAGAATTCAAATAAAAAATATTTCATTGAATTTGATCAAGTGATTGTCGAGGTAACTTCACCCAATCTTTAGAAAATTTGGTGCAGCTTTTATTTTGATAGACATTTTGATTTTGTTAAAACTTTGAGCGAAGATATATCGACAACCACCTGACCAAATTCGGTGAAAATTTTTTTATTTGAATTTAATAATCCATAAAATTCAAATAAAAAAACTTTCATTGAATTTGGTAAGGTCATTGTTAAGATATTTTCATTCAAAGTTTTAGAAAAATCAAACTGTCTATCAAAATATAAGCTATGCCAAATTTTTTCTAAAATTTGAGCGAAGATACCCCGACAACCACTTGATCAAATTCAATAAAATATTTTTACTTGAATTCTATAAATCTATTGAATTGAAATAAAAAAATTTTTATCAAATTTGGTTAGGCAGTTGTTGAGATATCTTTGCTCAAAGGTTTAGAAAAAATTTGGCATAGCCTTTATTCTGATAGACATTTTGATTTTGTTAAAACTTTGAGTGAAGATATCTTAACAACCAAATTCGATGAAAATTTTTTTATTTGAATTCTATGAATTCATAGAATTTAAATATAAAAAAATATATATAATTTGATCAGTTGGTTGTCAAAATATTTTTGCTCAAGTTTTAAAATATTCTTTATTTTGATCACGAGTTTTACGCTATAAATATCAGGTTTTATATATCCATCTTAGGTTTTACATAAATTAACTAGTTAACACAGATTTTACTAGCAGGCGTCGCAGATTTCACCCTGTCATATTATAATTTAAATATACATGTGATAAATTAGCACATCGCATAGTGCGATGTATATATTTTTTCTAAGTCTAAATTTTTAAAAATAAATTATAAAAGTTGTAATAACAAAAGTTGTCATTCTTTATTTAAACTACAATTTCAAATGATTGTAAATTTTTTTTTTAACTAAAATTTTTTTTAAGTTTTATCTATTTTTAGCCTATAAGTTAAATTTTTTATCTTGTAGTTTAAATATAAATTTTGCAAAAACATAATCCTTATTTTTATTTTTTATTTAAAAAAAATTTTAATTTTAATTTTTTTTTTTTAAATTTGGCAGTCATGCCAAAACTTTATTAGGCCTAAATTAACAAACTATACTATCAACTAATTTTACCAAAACAATTGCTTTGGTCACCTAAGTTACAAGTTTTGGCTAACTTGATTGCATCAAATGTGTACCTATATTTGATCTGCTATAGTAGAATTTTATCTCTTTACTTATCTCTTCTGCTATCAAAGAAAATAAATAGATTACCAAATAGCATCTACAAGCGTGTCATGACTGCTAATTCCCTTAAGACCCTTCTTTTCTTAATATTCAAGCAAGAGGATTTTATAATCCTTGTTTAAAGAATGACAAGTATATAAAAAAACTAACCTAAAAAAAAAGAAAGTAAAAAAAAGTGAGAAATACTACAAAACCTGAATATAATCCAAATACAAAAATAAAAAATAAAACAAAAAATATAAAAAAAAAAAAAGGCAAAAAGAAAAAAGAAAGATATAAATACACTATTTTTAAAAAAACGAACTTCTGATTGTTGTACTTGTGTATGGCATATAAAAATTATTTAATACTCTGTAAAACAATCCCCACCTTTGCTCTACTTTCATATTAAAATAGTTTTTATTGTGGGAATATGAAATTTTTCCTATTTATCTTACGGATCCACTATGTGTTATTTACCATAATTCGTGCATGTAAAATGTAACTTCCTCATAACTTACTATTTCCAATTTGGTTACATAAGCAATATTGGTCCTTTGTAGGTGGTACGGCAAAATTCCCACATTTTGAAAAAAATTTCAAAACAAACATCAAAAAACTTGGCAGAAATATGATAAAGTGGTTTTTGAGAACAGATACTTCAAAATTTCTAAAGAAATGTTTTAAGAAATTCATTTGTTGTTTCTTTTCTATTATATTGCCTATGCTTTATTTTGTCAATGATATGGCCTCACTATATCAGAGTCACTATTTTCTCCTAAAATTTTGTATACAAGGGCATTATCTGTATACTAATACTTTTGGTTTGAATGTCAAATATGCTAAAGGAGTCTCCATAATGCTAGTTGACCTTTACAAGAACTGCTGCATAGTGCCTTCTAACCTTTTCTAACAAAATTTTTGTTTTTGTTTAGTGAGAAAATTTGGTACAAGTGATTGTCAGAGAGTTGCTAAAAGATATTAAAAAAAAAATTTTAATTAAATATATTAAATTTTTTAAAAAAATAAATCAGAAGTATTTTTATAGTAAAATTTAAAGCAAATTTGCTTTAAATTTTAAACAAATTAAGAGATAAAGTATATATTGTTTAGAGGCATCTATAAATAATATTATATACCTCTATATAGTAGCTTTTGACTCTCTTTAGACTATATAAAATTTTTTTTCAAAACTTTATATTTATATATAAAATTTTACAAAATCTCGTCTAACTCATAACATAGTAATCCAATAAGAATAATTCTAGTATCAATCAATTTGTCTTGATAGAACGAATCTAATGATATTAAATTTATTTAATTTGAATCACTGGATCAAAAAATATCAGCAAAAAGCTATTGATTTTATAGTAATTTTATATAAAAAAATATAAGGGGGTATCCATATATAACATTATGTACCCTACATAGTAGCTCTTGACCCTCCTAGACTATATAAAAAAATTTTAAAAATTTATATATTTATATATATAATTTTACAAAAACTTGGATATATTATGATCTAGTGATCCAATCAGGATGATTTTGGTACTATTTGATTCGTCTCAGTGAGATGAATCAAATGGTACCAAAATCATTTTATTTGGACTACTATATAACGTTTTATTAATGAAATACTATTGATTTTATAGTAATTTTATAAGAAAATATAATAACCAATAGTATTTCATTAATAAACCATGATCCAGTAATCCAAATTAAATGATTTTGGTACCATTCGACTCCTCTCCTCAAGACGATTCAAATTGTACCAAAACCATCCAATTCGGACCACTGGATCAAATTTTAGACAAATTTTTATAAAAAAATTGCATTATATTTTAGGTGATCCCCCAAATATTGGAAAATCATTATATTTTGGGGGACCTCCTCCCCTCTCAAGCATAATATTATTTATGGATGCCCCTAACCAATAGTCTTTTGTGATTATCTCATGATCTAAAAATCAAAATTAGATAAAATTATTACTATTGAATTCGTCTTATTAAAACAAATTGAATAGTACTAAAATTATTCAATTTTGAACACTGGATTGAGTTTTAGCCAAATTTTTATAAAAAAATTAATTA